TCCCCCCCTCGGCCCACTCCACTCCAAGCCCAACACACATAGCCCAGCAACCCGAAACAGCCCAGCCACCTCAGCCCACCCACCCCATGACCACCCGCGCCAAGGCCGGGATTTTTTGCCCCAAACGTGTCCTAAACCTCAACACCGTTGCCAGTATATCCCCCATCCCCCCACCTACCGTAGTGCACTTAAAGATCAAAATTGGTACAATTCTATGTTAGATGAATATAATGCTTTGATTGCTAATAATACATGGGATTAAGTACCTCCCTCCCCTAACCAAAATGTTATCTCCGGTAAATGGCTTTTTAGACACAAACTCAGCCCTACAGGTGAACTGTCCAAGTATAAAGCTTGATGGGTTGTTCGTGGATTCAATAAGCACCATGGAATCGATTATGATGAGACATTTAGCCCGGTGGTCAAACCGGCAACCATTCGGATTATTCTCAGTTCGGCCGTATCACGGGGATGGCCAATCCACCAGCTAGATGTCAAGAATGCCTTCCTCCATGGCGCCCTTACAGAGACAATGTACACGGCCCAACAATCTGGATTCCAGGACCCTGCCCGACCTCATTATGTATGCAAACTGAACAAGGCGCTCTATGGACTGAAACAAGCACCACGGTCTTGGTACCAGCGATTCACTGGCTTCCTTCTCACACTTGGTTTCCGCGGGTGCAAGAGCGACACTTCCGTGTTCACTTATGGTCAAGGGACTCAGATGGCATTCCTACTTCTGTATGTTGATGATATCATTCTCACCGCTTCCTCGCAGGAGCTTTTACAGCGGGTTATACAGCGACTGAAGGGTGAGTTTGCCATGATAGATATGGGGGATCTACACTTTTCCAGCGCACCTCTCATGGTCTGTTCCTGACACAGACTCAGTTTCTCTATGATATTCTTGATCGAGCAGGCATGCTCAACTGCAAACCGGTGTCCACCCCGGTTGATACACGAGGGAAACTGTCAGCCTCAAGAGGCACACCTGCGCCAGATCCTTCCCTGTACCGCTCTATTGTGGGGGCCCTACAGTATCTCACTTTCACTCGTCCTGACATTGCTTATGTCGTACAACAGCTTTGTCTATTCCTCCATGATCCACGCACGCCTCATGTCACGGCCATGAAGCGAGTCTTGCGCTACCTCCACGGCACACCATCACATGGCATCTCCATCTCCAAATCCCACACAGATCATATGCGGGCCTACTCAGATGCCGATTGGGCCGGTTGCCCTGACACCCGCCGGTCTACATCCGGCTACTGCATATTCCTTGGCGATAACCTCATTTCCTGGTCTTCTAAGCGCCAGCTCACCACGTCCAGATCTAGTGCCGAGGCAGAATATCGTGCCGTAGCAAATGCCATAGCCGAAGTCAGCTGGATACGCAATCTTCTACTCGAGCTCCAGCAACCACTTAGCCGCTCCACTTTGGTTTTTTTGTGATAATGTGAGTGCTGTCTACCTCTCTGCAAATCCTATCAAGCATCAGCGCACGAAGCACATCGAGGTTGACATACACTTTGTTAGAGACCGAGTGGCTCTCGGACATGTCCGCGTACTTCATGTCCCTTCGTCCCTCCAGTATGCTGATATATTCACGAAGGGTCTTCCATCCATCATTTTCTCGGAATTCCGGGACTGCTTGGGCGTGCGGAGTTCTACACCAGTGCCGTTGGGAGCATGTTAAATATATTAAACATATATTTAGTATATTTGTATATATTGTAGTTTCCATACATGTATAGTCCTTATTAGTTAAGGATTCCTAACATGGTAGGTTTCCTAATATAACTAGGAATACTCTACTATATATTCTCCCTTGTATTTACACATTATGATTATTGGAATATATCAATTCTTCAGTTTGCACACAAAAGTTTGTTTTTTCCTTACTGCTATTATTATAAAATTGGAGGGTGTGATAGGCGGTATATGCATCTAATATGAATATTTGGATTTATAAATCCAGATGTTCTTTTTATTCTGTTATAACGATCAATATTTTAGTTTAATAAGGCAATAGAAATGTGCACAAAAAATATATTAACATAAAATAAATATATGAAGGTTGGAGTCAACGATACACCTTTCCCTCCCTATCACGCTATCACGCTACGTTTCCCTCCCAACATTCTCACAAAAATAAGTACCTTAAACTAACCACCCTAGACCCTTATTTATAGGTGGAGAGAAGGGGAAAAATGGATGGTTGTTTCTTTTTTTAATAAAAATATTTTGTTTAATTAAATACTTATTATAACCCTACTTAATGATGTTTAATGAATGGGGGACAGCTTACATCATTTTGGTGTGAGAAAAAAAGGGAAAAGAAAAGGTTTTCCTGCTCTGCTGATTCAATACGTGTGCGATTTCTACAGTTTCAGTTGCCCAATATTTTAGAAAAATATAAAACTTATTAGCTTCCATAATTTTTACACATCATTTTAACACAATTTATTTATGAAGAAACCATGTTCACTTGAACAAATAATATTATATGTATAGTAGAGAACCAAAACTCATTTTATTTTATTTTATTTTCTTTTATTTATTTTTACTCATCCCCACTATTAATCATTAAAGACTATATTCCAATTTGTTATTTTTAAATAAACAATAGTAACATTTTTTAAGGGACATTTTTTCCATACTTAAATTGTAATTTGTATTTGTTTTCAGTCTTTTCTTTTAATTTTTATTTTGTACTAGAAAGTTAAAAGTTCATAGACGAATTTTCAGGACGTTACATTTTCGAATCAATATGTGAAAAATAGGAAATCGAACCTAAGATAAAGATATTTTCGTGTAGTTGGTTTAAAATCAAACTTTGAAAGTTGGAAATAAAAACAATTATGCTGATCAGTTGATCTCCAATGTGGGGCTCTTCCTCTTTCCCGCAACCTTCCCCATTCATAAAATTGACGTTTATACTCCCTAACCCGCCAATAATTCCCTTCACTTACCCCATCTCCTTCAATTACATCCCCGAATTTATTAGATTTTGGAGTAAACAATTTGACTCTAAAATTAAATAATTTTGGAAGTACAATTGAAGATGAGAGAGTTGGTTTGGATTAGGTTGGGGTTTATTCGGAGAAGGTAGAAATCCTCAATTCTTTTTCTATTGAGTAAATCTACTTGTATTTATAAAATTGTATCCCAAAATGTACTCAAAGGTTTGTACCTACATTTTGTGTTAATGTAAGGCTCCACTTCGTTCAACTTATTTTTCTGATCTGATCTGATTTTTTGTAGTTCTGGTTTGATCTGATTGGATCTGGTCTGATCAGATCTGATTAGATCTGATCTGATCTGATCTGATTGGACTAGATCTAATTTGGTCTGATCTGATTAGATCCGATCTGATCTGATTGGATCTGATCTATTCTAGTCTGATCTCATCTCATTAATTATGATTTGATTTAAAATTAAATCAATAATTTGATTTGACTTTATAATAATGTTTGACAATTGTAATGATAATTCATATTATAACATAATGAATATTTTTTATTTTATGATTATTTTTTAATGAAATAAAATTAGTTAATTCATATATAAGAATAATCATTCGTATTATAATGTAATACTCCCTCCGTCCGGGAAAAATCTTCATAGTTTAACATTTCCTCATTTTTAGTGAGAGTTGACTATATCATTAAAATGTCCAAATTACCCTCCTATCTTTTGCCCCCACTATCTTTCCTTTGCACAGCCCCACCGCCGTCCCTCTGCTGCCCCAGCCCCATCGGCCCACCACCTCCTTGAGTCACCGCTATCCCTGACCCACTGCCGCCCCATTGCCGCACCAGCGCCATCGCCGCCCAATCGCTGCCTCAGCCTCACCACTACCCCATCGCCCACCGCTGTCCTGCTCCCAACGTCCACAGATCTAGATCTAACACAGATCTAGAAGAAGAAGTAGGAGGAGGAGGAGGAGGAGGGGGAGCGAGAATGGAAAGAAATGGCCAGATCCGGCCAAGAAAGGAAAGGGAGGAAACAAGATAAAGAAGGGGGAAGAGAGAGAGAGGGGGAGAGAGAGTGAGAGTGAGAGTAATGAAGATAAGGCCATATTTGGCCGTGGGAAAGGAGAAATGGAGAGGAGAAATGTTGAAGGAGAAGAACCGTGGGGAAGGAGAAATGTTGAAGGAAAAGAAGGGTAATTTTGGAAGAGTAGGTATGAAAACGTAGAGTAGGAAGATTTTTTTCGGACGAAAAAAAAGGTAGAGTAGGAAGTTTATTCTTGGACGGAGGGAGTAATATTTTTTATTTTATGAATATTTTTTTATGAAATAAGAATATTGTTTTAATATTTTAATAATTAGTTCATATATACATTAGAATAAATATTTAATTCATATATATATATATATATATTAAAAAGTAATTAAATTTAGATAATCAATGTAGAGTAGAGATAGTATTTTTATTAAAATATCTCATCCTTATAAAATATCAACGTGTGCTTTGTACTACGAAACCTTTTTTATGATTAATATAACACCATATATATAATAATTATTTCAGTTACACTAAAGTATACTCCGTATATGAATATCAAATGCTAATTTTATTTAAGTCATGGTCAAAGTTGATCAACTCGATGTAGTAAAAGATCAAAACTTTAGAAACTCAAATTACATGTAGCGATAAAAATATATTTTAAAAGTAGAATTAGATTGACATTGTCAATGTATTTTAAAAAAATATTTTCCGACGTCTAATAATTAAGGATTACTTTCTCAGTTTTCTATTTAACTTGTTTCTAAAGTTTATTCTTTTTCAATAATAATACTCCGTAATAATAATAATAATAATAATAATAATAATAATAATAATAATAATAATAATAATAATAATAATAATAATAATAATAATTCTTGATTGGATCGGATCTGATCTGATCTGATCTGATCTAGATCTGATCTAGATCTGATATGATCTGATCTGATGAGATCTAATCTGATCTTGTCTTATCTGATTTTAATAAGAATAAGAAAAAAGCAGAAAAAATAAGTTGAACGGAACGGGGCCTAATCTAAGATTGATGAGTTACACTGACACAAAAAGCCAATGCAAATATTTGTGATCACAATTACAATTTGTTTGAATGTAAGTTATCAAAATGTAAGTATAAATATTTACGGTATATTTTTTAATACAATTTTGGGGTACACCTGATATTTTCAATACTCCTACGTACTAACATTTTTATCGTTCATACTAATACAAAATGCTGGTGCGTTAATAAAAATTTGTACTAATATTTTGTATTTGTATACACTATAGTATTAAAGTGACACAAAATGAAGGTATTAACCCACGAAGTAGAAATTGAGGTAGAAATCTTGGAACAGAGATAACTTAATCCTTATTTTTTTATTGAATGGAAGTCTCCAACTCTTTCCCCAAATTACTGAAAAAATAGAGAGTTGGGAGGTAGAGGCCAGCCAACAACTGGATTTCCATTTCCCGATCTGAAGCCATTCGGAGAGACAGTGGAATGACGGCGTTTGTAAATCTGGAAGATTCTCCTATGTTCCACAAGCAAGTGTGATTTCTACTCTAATTCACATTTCGGTTCTAATTCTTCCCGAGCAATTTGTTCATTTGTGCATTATTTTTTACCCCAAATTTCCAACCTTCTTATGTTTTAGGTAAGGTCTTTGGAACTTAATGCAGATGAACTGAGAGACCGCTGCCAAAAGCTATATAAGGGCTGTAGAAAATACAAGTCAGTACAAAATATCAGTATTGCTTGTGTAGTTGCATGATTTTACCACAATGTATTTTTATTTTGTTACTGTATTAAGTAGATGGAATATGAATTGATGAGGCTAGAATGCTGTGAGTGATCACTATTTTTACTAGAAGTGATGCTAATTTTGTTTTATTAAAGCTAATTGGAAAATTATGATTTATAATTTTACACTCGTCCCGCAAAAAAACTTGGTCAAGGAGTTTAAGAAAGGTATTGAAAAGTAAAAATTTTGTTGTTAGATTTTGTTTAGAGGATTGAGAGAAGACTTATGAGCCACTCACTTCTTTCTTTAAAAAGAAAGTGATGTTTTTTTTGAAGTTGATATTGAAGTTGATATTGAAGTTGCTATAAAGGCATTGTTAGTATCAGCTGAATACATGCCATAGGAAAGATTTTTCTGTTTGGGGACTTTGAAGGCATTCTTGTTGGAAAAGTATCCTAAAGGAAAAGATGATCATGTGCCAGCCTTTGAAAAATGACTTTGAAAGAGGAAGTTTTTTTCTTGAAACAAATAGAGCTTAAAGCTAGGTTCAAAGTGGGAAATGACAATGACCAACTAACTCTCTTCTTATATATGCAAGACTGGCTGTTTCATGCATGTTTTGATATACTATACAAGGAAATGAAGATGACTACGATGTAACAACTACAACAACCGGGTAAGGTCCCCGTAAGTGGGGCTCGGGGAGAGTATATGTACACATACCTTATTCTACCCGCAAAACATAAAACAAACAAAGCACTGGAATTGGTGATTAAAAGCATGAAAGAATGAGTAAGTAACACACTAACAAGTTAGACATAAAAACATGTTAAAAAATTCACAACAGAAGAAGAAAAGTAAAGTATAACAAATTAACAATCTATGGAAAATAGAAAGGATAAGTAAATAGCCACACACAAAAATACAAACTCCTACCAAGGCTCCCCCAGTCTCCCTCCTACATCTAACTCCTATAGTCCGACTTCAAGTTAAAGTGCCCTACATTTAAAACTAATGATGGTTGGTTTGAAATGGAAAGGGCTGTCTCAAAAACTATGTGATCAAAATTAATTATGTGTATGCTACATCGAGTGTATGGTAAAACTAGAAAAGATATATAACGTGCAACAAGCCAACAAAGTGATTCATGGGGAGTGGGTGTAGACATTATTGAATGTAAAGTAAGGACAAACTTTTGGTTTGTCCGGGCATCGACAAGGCGTTTTTGCTCCGGGACAGAGAGTGTGGAGTCTTGACACTTAAAGAAAAGTTCTGGTGGACTGAACATTACTTGTACTGATTGTTTAAAACAGGATCTTAATAGCTTGTAACTTGATCAACATATCAATGTGGTGCATGGCAAAAAGAAAAGTAATATGATTTGAGTAGATCACTTCGAAAATGTTTTTAAAATATACTCCCTCAATCCCACCATAAAAGTGGAGAATGCAAAATTAATTTGCAAAAAAAAGTAGTCAACCCCACCTAGGGGCCAGTGGGAGAAGGCTTATTTTTGCACAGAAGATTAAATTTGTCTGCTTACGTTCAGTATTGGTTCTTCATCTTGTCTAGTGTGTATACTAGAATTTGAATTTTTGAATGCATTTGACTGACGTACAATCCTTACATTAAAGAGAAATGTTGGGTTGCATTATATATCTTTTTAACAGTGTATTAATTTCATCAGTGAAACACTAGAGGAAGCCTACAGGGGGGATAATATCTTTGCAGACTCATTGGAGGCGTTTGGCGGAGGCCAAGATGATCCTGTCAGTGTGTCAGTTGGAGGTGACTTAAAATATTTTAGTTGAACATTTTCTATCTTTCTGAAGTGTACTAGTGATAAGACATTCTTTGAGTCTTGATTGTAAACTTTGCTTGAAAAAATTGATATACGAAGTATTTGCTAAAAAGGTCTTCTTCTTTTAAAAAAATTAACTATGCAAATATTTTCCTGCATATGTTTTCTTAGGTGAAGATTTTAGTGTTTTGATTTGGGAGAAAGGCTGAAGTTACTTTAATGAACTTGTACAGGGATTAGAATTAGGTCAACTTGGACGGCAATTCAATTTTCTTAAGAAATATGAAATTCCTGGTTGTGTAAAATGTAGTTATGTAGGCAAATGAAATTACTACAAAATATCAACTTGTCTTAATGAAATGAATCAAATGAGACTGGTTAAAGCATTGGAAGTGGCAAAAACCTATGCGTAACATTTGTAAGAAAAAACACACATGTATGGAAGGAAATTTTAGTAAAACAGGGAGTCATCACGGAACTAATTCTCATAGAGGAAAAGAAGCAGACAACCTTTGGCAATGACTAGTCGGCACCTAGGAAGCCTAAGATCTGACAACCATCCGACTGGTGCACCGGATGCATAGTGTGATCTGCAACATCATTATGGTGAGTGTTTTGGATAGAAGAGACAAAAGAATAAATGTAAGGAAACACATATCTTTTAGTATCTTACAGATCTGACACTTTCAAGTTTCAAGTAATGGAGCTTTCTCGGAAGTTGGGAGCTGGAGTTCATATTCTTTATTAATCTATCCATTTAAGTGGATTTACATTTATATTAACTGATTCATTTCTAGTGCAACTATGTTGATTAATTTGTTTGTATCTTACAGCATATGGAACTAAAGAATTGATAGCTCTTTTCAACATTTTTCTCTATCCCCAGGCCCAATTATGTCAAAATTTGTTTCTGCATTTAGGGAGATTGCAACATATAAGGAACTTCTTCGTTCTCAGGTAAATCCAGATATCCTGTATTTAATCTAATTCCAGCTGGAAAACATACACCAGACCGACTGACCAAGTATCTTTAAAACAGTCATATTACTAATTTTTTTGGCTTTATAATTGCTAAAAGCTATCACTGATTAATTTTTGAGTCCTTTCTATCTCTCTCTAAGTGATGCAGAAGAGAGAAAAATTGTGAGCCACTCAAAGTTTTACAAAAAAAAGGAAAGAGGAGGCTTTTTTGGGACATCCCATAAAGGAAATAAGGAGTCTTTTTTTGGGACGGAGGGAGTATTAATCAATGCATTGCTTTCCGTTGGGTTTTGCTTCACGATATTTATGATGCCTTTAATACAATATATGTAATAACTTGTTGGTTAATGATGGAATTCAATGTGAGATGTAACATACTGTCATATTGTATAAAGCTTGCACGCATTAGTGGTTCTGTTATCATTTGCAAACTGTGTTTTAATAGTTCATATAGTGAACATATGAATATGCATGTGGAAATAGCCTATGATGATGGTTTTAGAATTTTCATCTCTTTATTCCTTCTTATGATGGTTGTGAAGGGAAAGGCATCCAGCACAAACATTGCACACTATGCCTTTTGCATTAATTTATAGTGTTACCTAACTTTACAAAATTATTTGGTACTCGATGTTTAATGCCGTAAATCACAACTAGTTGGGATTAAGGTGTTGACTATGATGATGATAAGTGAAAATATAACCTTCTTTCTTCCCTAGGTGGAGCATGTACTGATTGATCGCTTGACTGAGTTTTTGTCTGTTGATCTGCAAGCTGTCAAGGTAAAACAAGATTCAAGGCCAATTTTGTGCTTAATGTCCAGATGTTGAGGATGTCATTTAAGAAATGAGTAGCCTTTGTCTCAATTCTTGCTTTATTATTTAGAAAAGAAAATTGAACTTTGAGGCTTTGATATCATATTTGACAATTGGGCATTTTAGGCATCTCCAACCAGCACCTAATTGGCACAAGTTTTGGTGTTTTGGAGCACAACATGCTCCAACCCATGTGCCATTTTCTTTGTTACTTCACGAAAATGGTGAAGAATAAATGTCGAGTCAAGTAGGCTTTGTATTGTAGTGCTGCACCATTTGCATGTTATTTCAGTTTTCTTTGCTTGTTTGACAATGAAGTAACGTAAGATATTTAATACTACCTCCGTCTCTGAGTATTTGTCCAATTTTGAGTTTTTTCGGTCAACTATTTTCAACCTTTGACCTATAATTAAATAAAATATATATATTATATTAATTAGATAAAATAATATTTTGAAAATATTTGATATAATAAATCAAATAAAACTATTTTGTATTAATATCTAACATAAATTTTATTTAATTTGAGGTCAAAGTTTACCAATTTTGACCAAAAAAGTCAAAAGTGGACAAATACTCAGGGGCAGAGAGAGTATACTAGCAGTATAATTAAGAATAATATACAATAAATTTATGTGCAAATTAAAAGCAAAATATTTAATAATCAAGTAAAATAGAATATAAAGGAATGGTGATAAAACATGTGTAAATAATGGTTGCTCGAGCAAAAACAGTGTTTGGACTATGATTTGATGTTTACACTATTTTGGTGTAAAAATGGTGATGTTGGCCACATCTCTTTTATTATGTAATACTCTGCCTAGCATCTGGATAGAAACCTATCTCATATGGCAAAAGGGGGATATATTGTATCCCTTTGCCTTTGCCCTTCAGTAGAATTTGAACAGTGTCTTAATACATTCATAGGAAGTGTTTTTGTGTCTCCCTATTCTGCAACTGACCTGTAATGATTGTTCCTTGAGTGTGTTATCAACATCATGATTTACTAAAAGAATGGTCATTTATGATTAAATTTAGAACAGGGTCATTATATTTAGCTTAAATTTTCAACTTTAGCGGATGCATTATTATACTATTGCTGGTATTGATACCCAAATTCGAATCAGATCCTAGACTCATTGTACATTGTTGCTGTTACTGCAGGAATCTCGTTACAGATTTGATAAGGCTGATTCTGCTTATGACCAGGTAGTTGTTCATGCCTTGACAAGCAAATAAAATTATCTGTGCTTTTGTTTAATTTGGACTATTGAACTTGATTTGGGAAGCAGTTGATTTTTTATTAATTTATTTTCCAATCCCCCGAATTACATCAACAGTGACCTTTAACAAAATGTACTCAACTTTTTTATATTTTACTAAACTTTACTGAACCTTTTTTCTGGGTTTGTTTTTTTGCCTTTCTGAAAAAAAAAACACAATCTGATTACTGATTTTTTTACTGCATTTGTTGTGATGAAAACAAAAAAGATCCAAAAAGCACAAGGTGAAGAGAACTGAACCTTATTCACGCTAACTATATTATTGATTGTAATCTATATTGTTCATTATTTGTGTTTGGTTGTTTGGTCACTTAAAAGTGACTGCAAAACCAAAGTAATCATTTTTTTAAATCTAAAAGGTCAATCAGTTTTCTTTTTGTTGGTTTAGATATTGATAGCTGGTTGGCAGTTGGAATAACCTCTACCCTTGGTATGTGATGATGTCAGTTTCTGCAGAAAACCAATGGAGATGTGACATAAAACTTAGGAATGTGGCATGCCACTCTTCATTCCGGCAAAAAGATAGAATATCCAAGATTTTTAATCTGCTTTAGAAAAAATTTAGGATTTGAGGCTTTGATACTGATAGAACTTAGGATTGACCTGGAAAATAAATAAAGGAAAGTTTTTATTAAATTATGAATTCAGCATCTAACTTCATAAAATAATAATAGAAAAATCTGTATTAAAATATGAGTAAGAATCTTAAACTCATATAAGTAATAAAGCCAAGGAGAATCTCCAATGATTAAATACTGTGTAATCTTCTATCTTCAATACACATGACTAGATGTCTATTCATACAAAGAGACTCTAACTTCTACTAGTAATAACTTACTCATAACCACCCACTAACAATGTGGGAATAACTTACCCTAAACCTCCCACTAACTAAGTGGGAAAAACTGACCCCTAACTTCCCACTAAGTGGAATTAAAGAATTATTAAATGATAAATATGAAAAATAAAAGACTCAACAAATAATTAAATAGTGCTAATTGATGAGTGAAATAGAGTGAGATAAAAGGTGAAAGAGAGAGCTGAAGGAAGATGAACTTCTACTTTTTCTTATTCTGTTTTTTTCATCCGAATAATGGAGCAAGACTTCTACATATATGGGTGCACCAGATGGCAGCCTACCACTCAATAGTTGCCACCTGTTTCTCACCTATTAATTATATGCTAGGAACACGACAATAATAGGAAACTTCCTAGCAAAAGGGCTGGCTGGCGCAGCAGCAAGCAAAAAACTAGTAGAAAAGGACAAAAAATAATACAGCTAATAGAAGATAAAAGAGGACAGTGCAGCCATTAGAATAGAAGCATATTTATTTCTCTCAATACTCCCCCTCAAGCTGGGAGTGGAGGTGCAACAAGAACTCCTAGCTTGAAGAGTAGGTCATTGTGTTGTTTGACGGGCAGTTGCTTAGTGAATACATCTGCAAGTTGGTTCTTTGTGGAGATGTATTCTGTTTTGATTGCGCCTGATGCTTGTTTCTCTCTGATAAAATGGCAATCAATTTCAACATTCTTCATGCGTTCATGATGGACTGGATTGGCTGCAATTAATAGAGCTGCTTTATTGTCACATTTGAGAATAGTTGGACCAAGATTCTGCATCCCTAGCTCCTTGAGCAGACCCCATAATCCATCCTATCACAGTGTCGTTGCATGTATCCCAGAGTTCTGCCTTCGCTGTGTCAGCTTGGTCCTTCACAACACTTCCCTTCACAAAGCCAAGTTTTCTTTTTGAGGAAAGTGCTATCTCCATGGATCTTCTCCATCTCCTGTAATTACTCACACCAGTGAGTTTTTCAACACTTACTGTGTTAGGCCCATCTGAGCCATGAAGGTACAAGGGGTTTTGAGGGTTCATCCTTTCCATTGAAGATACAGGATAGGAGAAACCCTAGTTTTCGGAAGATTTTAATGCAGCTCTCTCTTTCAGGGCTCTGATACCATGATGAGTGAAATAGAATGAGATAAAAGGTGAAAGAGAGAGCTGAAGGAAGATGAACTTCTACTTTTTCTTATTCTGTTTTTTTCATCCGAATAATGGAGCAAGACTCCTACATATATGGGTGCACCAGATGGCAGCCTACCACTCAATAGTTGCCACCTGTTTCTCACCTATTAATTATATGCTAGGAACACGACAATAATAGGAAACTTCCTAGCAAAAGGGCTGGCGCAGCAGCAAGCAAAAAACTAGTAGAAAAGGACAAAAAATAATACAGCTAATAGAAGATAAAAGAGGACAGTGCAGCAATTAGAATAAAAGCATATTTATTTCTCTCAATACTAATTTCTTAAATAAAAAATGACTTAACCAACCAGCCTGGAACCTATCAGATACCATGTAGGTTGATAAATGTTATATTGTATTTTAATTAGAAAACAAATGTACTGGGATGTATACATATATATAGCTAATGTATAAGTTGGGGTGGGCCTACCATTTCTAGTCTTGACATTCAAATATTCAATGGAGAATACAAGAGCAATTAACAAATTTCATTTTGTGAGCAATGTTTCAAATTCTAAAAATATCTGAGAATTTTTATAATCACCTAATTACTTCTTTGTTAGGCCAAAGTTTATTCTCTTTGATAATTATAATTCTATTGAATGACTTACAAATTCTAGATTGATCTTCACTCCAATTTGAAATCTAGATTTGTCTGTCTTATCTAGATAGCGAGAAATGGTTGCTACGTGACTGTGTATTTCTGGCTTCGTTTTCTTATTCTGACCTAGTCTAGGCAAGTGACAATATGTGAGCAATGTTCCATGAAACAAAACGCACATGAAATGACATTCAACTAGTGTATTCACTGTATTGTCTAAATAGATCATAGCAATGTGACATACTGTTTTGTCTAGAAACACTAAATTCAGCTTGTCAAGATGCTCTACCTCTTTTTTCCTGGGGTTTCATCTCTATATTAACAAATTCTGGTTATCAATGAAATGCAAGGCACGGGAGAAGTTTGCCTCTTTAAAGAAGAGTACACATGCTGATGTAGTAACTGGACTCGAAGAAGTATGTTTTCATCTTAATTACTTTATTCTTATGTATGCATGTTTATATGTTGTTGCTCATCCCCTTTTTCTAAATTAGCCGCATATCTACGTGTTACTAAGTGGAAGTAGTTGGAAAGAGCAATTAAGCATGATCAGGTTTATGATACTTTCAAGATAGTGATGCAGGAGGGGGGTAAATAGCTTTTTTGTGCCCAAAAAGCTGTTCGAATGAAACAAGTGCGTTGACCTATTCGACTAAAAGAGCTTTTTGTAAAAAAAATTATAATATTAATCTTTATATTTTATGAAAAATGCAATTATTACTCTTAACGTAAAGAAATCTAAAAATTTAGCATCATAAATTTTAATTGTGCAATTGTCATTTTTAATGTTATACATGTAATTTTACCTTGAATGAAAATATGATGATTAAAAGTATTTGAGCCCTAGTAAATAATGAACGACAATTTGAGGCCTTCACATAATAATATAGCTCTAACGTAAATAAAATGTATTTATAAAAATACATACATACATACATACATATACATACATACATACATACATATATATATATATATATATATTAATAACATATTATAATAACTTAAAAATTATAGAGTAGATCTATAGACCTTAGGCACATTCTATAATTTTTTTATTAAAACCAGAATTTTGCAATTTTTAGACAAATATGTCCAATAAAAAAGATAATAGAATAAGGGACAAAATGTGGATTTTATCAAAAAGCTATTTTGACAAACAGCAACCCATTAGAATCTCACAAAAGTAAGTTTTGGGGAGAGCCGAGAGGATGCTTCCAAAGATACCCCCGACTCAAGCAGTACCACAGGTAATCACGTACGCAACCTGGCCCCTATGCTTAAAACATAGAGTGGCTGTGTCTGGATGACCCATGATGAGCGTCGAAAGCTGCATTGACTAACTTTAACTTCACTATTAAAATAAGCGCATATAATTTAAAAAGCCATTTTGCTTTATTCCATCATAACCCAAAGCCAAAAAATAATGAATCTTTGGCTCCATCGGAGATGCTGGAAAAATATTTTGACAAACACTAATTTTATTACACACTTGTTCTATATAGCTTATCTGAACAGGAAACGCAATAACCTAATTTAAATAGCTAATCCAAACAGCTAATTCATACGGCTAACCATTAATGGCTAACATCCGTGCACCAAACACCCCTAGTATTTTCAGAAAAGCAGAAAATAGTTAGCGGTCAAAGTTGCAAGCACCGATATGGTTGATCATTCATGCTTAGCCTTTTTTTTTGCTTATTTAAAAGACTATGTTTTTGGTTCCATCTGTTGCAGGACCTACACAACTCAAAGTCAGCTTTCGAAAGAAGCCGCTTTAATTTAGTAAGTACGGTGCATTATTAACACGTTTGTCTACTCCATGTTGTAGATGCAATTTCTGCTTACATATCACCCCATAGACCGTACTGAGTGGGACTTGCTGTTTTAGTTTTATTTGGTGCATTGCTAACAAGTTGGTAGTTGCACCATTGAAGAACATTATCACTATGCTCTAGTCTTATTTCCTTGTTGGTTGTACCTTGTAAGGAATTCAGGCAAATGCTCTCATGAATATTGAAGCAAAAAAGAAGTATGAGTTCCTGGAGTCTATTAGTGCAATTATAGATGCTCATCTAAGATACTTTAAGTTGGTGCGTCTCTCCTTTACTGATATTTACATTACTGGTATTATTAGACTATTCGCAACCTCCTTCATCACACTGACCATACAATTCCGTAACGCATTTCAAACAGGGATATGAATTGTTGAGCCAAATGGAACCATTCATTCATCAGGTACTGTCTTCAATTTAGAAACAACAAGTTTAGCTGCTTTCACAAGCCAAATATTTTTTTATATCCAAGCGTTATTACGTTGGTTTCTAGTGTTACTAGAGATTTAGAAGTGTCTAGGATTAATGTTTAGTTCTGTGTATTCAGTTGCGAGAGAAAACTCCATGTATACCTGTTAGATGTGCTACAAAGAATCTTGGATATGTTAGACAAATTTCTATTATTGTTTGTATATATTTATAGCCAATTTACTTTCCATAACCCTCTACCTTAAGTTGGAGTATAGATATCGATCATGCTCAGCTTGCTAAATAAATAATCAACGAGACTCATGTCTTTTGGAAATCGTCTTTCCTGTGTGACAGTCCTATATGACTACAGAATCAGCAAAAAAAGGCTATGGAACAGTGAAGAGATCTGGGAACCCTTACTGAGGCAAGGTTAATGGAACTAGTAGGGACGAATAAAACTTATGTAACCCTACTGACGCTCTGTTCTTCCAACTTTTTCCAACTTCTTCCAGTTTCTTCCAACTCCTTCTAGTTCCTTCCAACTCCTTCTAGTTTTCTTCCAACACCGACTTAAAAATGGTATTTATATTTGATGAATATATAATAACATTATATATCTAAATTTATAACACACCACCTCAAACACGGACAATGAAGAACTCTTTTTTATCCAAAAATAGAGTTTCTTACATATTTATTTGGGTGATCATTTAATTGAGTGACTTTTTACACTTTAATTCTTCCAACGTTTTCCAACTCCTAGTTTTTTCCAACTCCTTGTAGTGTTTTCCAACTTTTTTTGGTTTCTTCCAACTTTTTCCAGTTTCTTTTAACATCCAACTCTGAAATTCCAATCCAAAAGAATAGGGTCTGAGACAAGGTTAATGGAACTAGTAGGGACAAATCAAACGTGTGTAAGACGTAAAGATGTTTGACCAATGGTTCTTCCATCTCTAGTGGCTGGTGTTCAGAGTGCATTTGGATTGTGATGAGGGGCAAGTTGCCTTGTGTAGAAATATTGGATAAAATAGAAGGTTTCTTAGACATATGGTCAGTTGCACGAGAGTCAAGGATACAAATGTTTGACGTATTTGAGACACATGCAATGGATGAGCTTAGGGTGGATACGGAGGCTCTGAATTTTGGATATGATGCAAGCTCATCAGCTGTATCACAATTGAGGGGAAAGAACTCTGAGCATGATTGCCAGAATTTGTAGTTTATCAGTGCAACTTTCACCGTTTATCTTTAGTGTGCCCATTTTTATGATACTTATTAGTATTATTATTATTATTATATTAGTTAAGTCTTGAGAATATGGTAGGCTTTGATTTAGGCATTAATAGGGGTGATTTAGTTTCGTTATATTAGCACCCTTCTTATGCATATATAGTCACTTGTATTATGTAATTAGGCATATGGTGAAAATGTCGGATTATTGACTACATGGTTTCAAAGCAAGGTTGTTCTAGGGTTAGGGTTCACTCATTAGAAAAAAACTTGCTGCCATTTTGACGTTGCCTCTAGCGGTGCTTGCCTGATGTCATTGCCACATTGGGTGGGTCACATGTTGCAAGAGAACAAGTCTGGAGAATCTCTCGTTCGTCGGAGGCCTCCCGTTTCCACTCCTGGTCAAATCCCTCGTCGAAAAACCACTGTTAGGGTCGCCTCAGTCATCTAAGCACGTGTGTGGACTCAGTTTGGACATCCAGTGGGTGGTTTTTTTGTTCTGTCTACTGTTCAATGATCATCTGCTCATATGATGGCATTTACGGATTCAGGTAAGGATAGTGCTTGTCTTGTCTCGTCTTCCTCCAAGTGGGTTATTGATTCCGGAGCCACAGATCATATGTGTCTAATCCTAGTGTCTTCTCTACTTCTCAGCCCCACATATCTCATTCCTCTGTTGCTGACTGTTCCACGGCTAAGGTCCTTGGGCCAGGCTCGTTCATCCTTACTCCCAATATGGCACAAGTCGTCTGTCTTGAGTTTACCCCATTTTTCATTTAACCTGTTATCTCTTAGCAAACTTGTGATCTTAATTGTTCTGTCACATTCTTTTCTAATCATTGTGTGTTTCAGGATCTTATGACAAAGAAGATTATTGGTGAAGGATGTGAGACTGATGGCCTATATCTTTTCAACACTTCCATTCCTAAAGCAGTTGCTTGTGGTGGGATTGAGTCACCTCTCGAGATTCATTACCGTCTGGGTCATCCTTCATTATCCTTGTTAAAAAAACATTATCCTCAATTTCATCATCTTTCTATTTTACAGTGCAAGTCATGTCGTTTTGCTAAACACCACCGTGTTAGTTTGAGTCCTAGAATAAATTTACGAGCAAGTGCTCTTTTTGAGTTGGTTCATTGTGACGTTTGGAGTACTTGCTCGGTTGTGTCAAAACCCGGATTCCGGTACTTTGTTACTTTTGCTGATGACTATTCTCGTATTACTTAGCTACATTTAATGAAATCCTGTTCCGTGTTATTTACTCACTTTCGTTCTTTTTGTGCTCAAATACGAACCCAATTTAATATGCCTCCTAAAATTATGCATGGTGATAATGCTAAAGAGTATCTTTTCGCTCCCTTCCAGTCCTACATGCGTGATCATGGCATCCTCAACCAAACTTCTTGTGTTGATACTCCAGCCCAAAATGGTGTAGCTGAACGTAAAAATCGACATTTGCTTGAAACTGCACGAGCACTCTTGTTTCAATCAAAAACGTCTAAGTTGTTTCGGGCTAATGCTGTTGCCACAACACGTTTCTCGATTAATCACCTCCCATCGGATGTCCTTGGTGGTCAGCCCCCATTTCATAGTCTTTTCCTTGATAAACCACTGTTTCCTATCCCACCAAAGATTTTTGGATGTACATGTTTTGTATGAGATGTTCGTCCATGTTTTGACTAGATCCAAAATCCTTGAAGTGCATCTTTTTGGGATACTCGCGGGTCTATAAGGGATATCGTTGTTATTGTCCTAGTCTTAGTCGATACCTTGTCTTCATCAATGTGAGTTTTCATGAGCTTGTTCCATTTTCTTCACCACTAGATCCTTAAATGAGGGTGAGGGTTCAGATTATATTTTGTTCTACACTACATCTAGTCTACATTCGTGCCCTCTATTATTGTGCCTCATATTACTCAGGTTTACTCTCGCTGAAAAAACCTAGCCGCACACTCACCTACACCTGCTCCACCCTCACTTGACCTTGAACCCTTTTCTGCCACAATGACTAATCTGCCACCTACACCTGCGCTAGCCTCATGCCTTGAGCTGAGCACTACGTAGTTGAATCATGATCATGCTGATGATTTACCCATCATTCTGGGCAAAGGTAAGTAGTCTTGTACCTACCCTATTTCTAATTATCTCCTTATGATCATTTGTTTCTGCTACTTGTGCACTTACCTCTTCTCTAGATTGTGTGCTTCTTCCTAAAACTGTCACAGAAGCACTATCTCATCCTGGATGGCGTACTGCCATGATAGAAGAGATGAATGCCTTGGAGCACAATCATACTTGGAATCTGGTTCCATTGCCGGCCAGTAAGAAATATATTGGTTGCAAGTGGGTCTTCTCTGTTAAGGTGAATCTGGTGCCTCGTCTCAAAGCTTGATTGGTGACCAAAGGTTATGCTCAAACCTATGCTTGGATCCTGATGCGACGTTCTCCCCAGTGGCCAAGCTCACTTTTCTTCGCCTTGTTATCTCTATGGCTGCACGCCATGATTGGCCATTGCATCAGTTGGATATCAAGAATGCCTTTCTTCATGGTGCTCGTTAGGAAGAGGTTTATATGGAGCAATCTCCATGGTTTGTTGCTCAGGGGGGAGAGTGGGAAGGTATGCACACTATGTAAATTTTCGTACGTGTTGGAGTTCGTGTTTTAGGCAAATGTTCTCACACCGGATAAACAATCAAAATTACACTACACATAAGTTAAGGTGAAACACTATCCATTGGCTTAGCGTTTGGTTAGAATGTGGATCCCGACTTTATATGAGAAAGTGGTCAAATCTCACCCGACACTGCCCAGTTCACTCGGCTCACCGGAAGTCCAACATGGTATCGGAGTCAAGTTCGGTTCATCAACTCTCCGGTCTAGGTATAAAGAGATTGAGATGCTAGACCCATTCACTCATCCAAGTAGCAACTAGACTAGGCTAGTTACCACTTGAGAGGGGGTGCTAGAGTCCGTGTGTTGGGCTAATGTTCCCACACCGAATAATCAATCAAGATTACACACTTTACACTACCATATAAAGAAAGGTGAAGCACTACCTATTAGCTTAGGCTTTTGGTTAGAAAGTGGATCTCGACTTTATATGAGAAAATGGTCAAATATCACCCGACTCCAGTTCACTCGGCCGACCGACCGAAAATCCAACAATATGGATTAAAACAAAGTCCTCGTGCATGGTATGGAAAATTCAGCCAAGTAACGGAGCGATTTGGAATGGTAAAAGGACAACATTCTTACTTTTATAATTGGTCTAGTGGTGGAATTATCTTCTTGGTTGTTTATGCAGTGGTTGTTTATCTTCTTGCGTTATCCGTCCCCAGTCGTGAGGGAAACCATTTTTGGTGTGTCGCGACACTTTTGAACTCAAGTGAAACAATCTGTTTCTGTTTCTGTTTTTTGGTGACATCTGTGTCCTAGGTTGGACTTCTAGTACCTATGGTACATTTGGTCACTTTTGAGAGGAAATCTGCTATCTTTGCACATCTGATTCTGGTGCTACTACTGTCTTCTGAGAGAATTCAAGTCAAGGTGGAGATTTGTTGGAATGCCTTGAATTCTAGCCCATTTGACTAGTCAACAATGGCTGCACCTGGCTGGAAAGTGGCTGCAAACTGCTGGAGAATGGCTGTAAACTGGCTGGAAACTACCGGGAAAGTAGCCTTGACAAATGGACAAGCTGGTGGCTAGTTGGTGAGGCGGGCAGCTGTATGACGGCAGTGTTCTGGGCTGTCAACAGCTCACTTC